CTTGCTAACCAGCATGGGCACAACAGCCAAGGCAGTGCCACCAACATGCAAGCCTGCAGAAGGTGTCAGCAGTTGTGTGTGCAGCTGCCCCCTGGCCACCACCCCTCTCAGCCTTGCATCAAACCTTGGTAGCAGTCCAGAGGGCCCGATGTTGTATCTGTAGGTGCCAGCTTATATTCTGTTTACCTCTGCATTCATATTATACCCCATGCCTCTCTGAAGTCAATGGATGGACTCCCATCATTGCCATGTCTCTGGATGAAATCTTTCTTAACAAACAACCAGACCTGTCCCTGAAGGACCCACCCAGTGCATTCAAGACTCAACTTCCCCTGTAATATCTGCCAAGAGAATTAGAGATCTACTATAAAAAGAGGGAGCCCCAGCCAGAACTGAACTCCACGTCCTCCTGGTACCTTATTGGTAAAAATATTCACATCCAAGCCACTCTCAGGTGCTGCAGTGGTGAGAAAGGGTGCTGCATCAGTTGTAGTCTAACCGCCTTTCTCCTCGTTAGCAGCCCTTGTTTGTAAAGCACGCTCACGTTGTTTCATGAAGTGTTCTTACAGTCACTGTTTTAAAGGCATCTCTGTTGACAGCCATCCGGATCTCATTACAGCCAGGACTCAGAAATGAGAGCCTATAATTTAAGCACTTTTGCTGAAAAGGTCTTTAAAGACATTTATGCCCTTGCAGAGCCTACTCATGTATAGAATGACATGTATTTACTATGGACTTCTTTTGCATGTAAATATGTGTATAAATATGTATGTACATACTCACACGTATATACATATGCATATAGAGAGATATATGAATGTGCAGAAAGAGATTTCCAACATACTTTTATGGCCATTAAAATAATGATAATAGAAAAGCTCAAAAGGATTGGTTGTAAAACACAAACTGTAATCCTCTTGAGTTATTTTTCATCTGGAAGTACAAATTTTGTTTATGTAGTGTCCAAATGGCACCATCCAGCACAGCTGAAGATGTCTCCTGATCCATCTTCTAGCCCCTCCTGAAATGTGGTGACTTTTTCAGAACTGGCTAGTGGAAAAAGCTCCACCGTAAAAGCATGCTCCTTCTGGGGTTTGCACTTCTGCTTGATTTAATATTTCCTAATAACAGTTTTAGGAGAAATTGCATTGCACGGTAGAGGAACCCCCCACATACTCACTCCACCCCAGGAATTAGGTGCTTGTGTGTGGTAGGATTTATGATGGTTCTCTGTGTTCCTATTGCCAGAATATCTCATAAACTCAGAAAAGTTACGCAGGCATCAGTCTGTTTACCTTTGCATGAGCTTAAAGCTGATTTATTTGACCTTTGGAAAATAGGATAATACTTCTTGTTGAAAACACCAAGGAGTCCAGATTAAAGGAAGACTGTCAAGTAGTTTAAGCCCCAAATCTGAGCTGCCTTTAACTGTTATAATTTGAGGGCGATGCTCACTTAATTCAGCTGAAAAACTGTTTGCAATGGTTGCACAAGTATGCACACGGATATGTAATCTTGTACACATGTGTTGTGTTCATGTAGACATTGCACATGTTAAGCCCTGGGGTTCCTCAGTGGACGAGTGACTCTGGTGAGAAAACATTTTGTAATAAGTTGCTCCAGTGCAGACACCGCTTTAAAACAATGCATATAGTTTATGTGATGGCTTGCAATGATAATTATTTCAGTGTAAGTACACTGACAAGAGTTTCCTTAGAGAGAACAAGGTCTTGGTGCACAACAAGTACTTCCCCCCACAACCCAATAATTTGTCCACATAAGTCACCACTTTTTGTTCCGAATTTGTGGATAGGTTGTGCCTATGTGGCGGAGATCTCCCTGGCCTTAACTATTTACAAACATTTTAAAAAATTCTTTAAATGCAAGCCACTGAAATGCATGAATCTTCAAGCTCAGATGTGTGTGATGGCTGTTGTAACAAACCCATTTTGCATTGCTTCTGGTCAGTGAAGAATGTTATTAGCCAGTACAGTACAAATTGCAAACACACAAATCCAGCTCCTCTGCCGAGGATTTTCAAGTAGGCCAGTTTAAAATCAATAGTTTTAGTGTTCACCACAACCATTCACAAGAACTGACATATTAAAAACCAAGGTAATAGGAAAAATCAATTAATTCCCCTACTCCACACTGCCTGGCTCAGAGGTGGGTTGTATACAGAGGTATTACCAGCCTGTAGGTGTTTTAAATAGGTATTTTTGGTGAAATGGTCAGTTTTATTTGAAGTGAGCTTTTAAAGAAAAAAAAAAAAAAGATCCATAGGTGAGTGATGTACTGAAGGAAGTATGGTTCCCCAGAGACTCAGAACACAGTTGAGATAAATGGATATTGCATAAAAAATATCATAAAGCATAAGTGTCTGTTGGGTGCCAGTGCAGGGTATTGTCAAGGTTATGAGTCCACAACTAGACTTTCATGCTCGTGTGAGTTATGGCAAGCCCTCATGCTTCCATAGTGGAAGAAGATGGCTTTTGTGGTCAGAAGACCTCAATCTTAGCCAATGTCAGGACAGAAACCAAGGTTTACCTCACCTGTTTATGCTCTGCCATATCTTCCTCATCCACAAAAAGGAAATGATTTGACTTAGTTATGGAGGTGCTTGCTATTTTCTATTCACTGTTGCCACTGTCATTATTATTTCCCATAGTTTCATAGGAGTCATCAGGTATATAAGTCTTTTCAGAAGCTTCTGAAGCCACAGCAATGTCTTTGAAATTGAAATAGAAAAGATGTGATTTCTAGCAGCATAGTGTCTTCAATTTCCTTATTGCTGGAAAACTGGATATTTGTATGAAATCAAACAGGACAGATGTGCAAAATGTGAAGTAGAGTGAAAAAAAAAAAAAAAGAAAGAAAGAAAAAAAAAGAAAAAAAAAAAGCTTTTAAAGAAATTGAATGAAAAAGCTTTATTTTTCACATCTCTTTTCACTGTTCTTGTCATGCAACTTTGTTTTTATCTGGTATACAAGTATTTCTTAGTCAGCTTTCTCCAAAGCTATGTTTTAGAAAATTAAATAGCTATTAAGTATAGCTCCAGAAATTAAAATAGCTATTGCATTCCTCCAAAATACCTCCTTAAATCACAGTTCAGGAAAACATCATTCACCTTAATGGAGAACCACTGTAATGGAGCAAGAAGCAACTTGGAAACAGGAGCGGTGAAGACGGGAAGACATGGTTCAAGTTCCCTACGTATTATTTTAGGAAGCAAAACTATCCTTACACAAGTAACTCACACAGTTCCAGCCAGGTCCACATAGTTTTAGACTTGTTTCAATCTTCTCTTCCCTCTTCTCATTATATTGAAAAAGCCTTCAGAAAATGTGTGTTTGGCAAATGTGCATACATATATCTTAAAACACAAAGAGAACTATATTCATGCCGAGGGCTGGATTCATTTGTTCTTATGTGGGCTGAGAAAGGGTCCATGCACTCAGATGTGTTTCACAGAGAAACATGCACCTAGATATGTTTCCCCTTCTCAAGGTTGCAGCCCGTGTTGATCACTAGGCTAATTCACAATACACCACAAAATGTAATGATATATCCTATTTCCTGGGTACAATAGGACCACTGTTTAACAGCTTGCTGTACTTTGATACTTTAAAAAATAACAGCCAGAGAGTTGTAAGAGAGGTGTCCTTGCCATGCACAAGCTAAGATAACCATGGGAGGTATAGTCCCTATTTCTCATGACCAGCCTGTGTAAATCTGTTCTGTTGGCTTTGATTCTTGGTTTTATACCCAGAAGTGTTTAAATTCAGCTAAATGTCCAAACAGATTGAAACTGCATTTAAACATTAAGTATACATCTGCAATATTTGTTTGTACCTCAGAAGCTTCCCACATTAAAAAAAAAAAAAAAAAAATCTTAAAGACTGCCTTTCTGAGTCTGGTCCTTGGTGGCTGATTTATTAGCTTTTCTGTTTTCATCAATGTGTTCAAGTTGCTAAAACCCATCCTGTTAAGCTTAATGTGTCTGGTATTCATCTTCACCTCAGTACCATCTGCAATAACAAGCACCAGACCCCTGCTCAATGGCTATAATGCTTCCTCAGGAATATTCTTCAGTAAAAATAATAATAATAATAAATTAAAAATAAAAAGAAGAAAAGGATGATTGGGATGAGCCTGCCTCCAGCTTGGGGCAATCCTTTGGTCCTTTCTTCATTGATAATCACAGTAAGTTGTTACATTGCATGAAAATTAATTTTCTAATAAAGAAGGTGGAGGGGTTTCAAGAATCCTCTTTTTTAATGAGCTTGCAACATGGCAAGTAACAGAGGCTTTTCCTGTTCCTGTGGGAAGTATCTGTTTTCTTTATTTCTGCAATAGTAAAGTTAAGCTGTGAGCATTGTGTAAACACCTAGTAAAGTGTCCTGCAAACATTTGCCCCAGTGTAAATTTGTGCGTTCGATGACATTTGCTTTCTGTGGTTTCTTTTCCATGTGCTTCAGCTCTCTTGGTTGAAATACCACTTGGCTGACAATAATATTAGAGACATAATTTTCACAATTATACATACATTCATATTGGACATTTGAAGTAAAATTCACTCCAAAGCATTCACCCCCTAAAATTTTCTCAGGGCCTTCTGAAGAGGACCAGAACCCATGCTATGCCTGGGCTGAGTATGAAAGCTGGGCAAATGATACAAGATTCCACAAGAGAAGCCTACCCCTACCAATACCACTTCTAAGACCTCCTACATCTGATGTGTTCACATACTTCATGACCCTTCAGGGATTTCTTACCACAATTGATTGTCTCCCCTTGAGTGTGATATCCACTACACCTTACAAAGGCATTGTCCACTCCATCTTCCCCTTTCCTTTGACCTTTGAGTACTCCACTCTTCTGCTGTATCAAGTTGGCAGCACTAGAGGGTGGTTTTAATCAGACTCAGGTGATGTTCAGGCCCTCTAACAGGTTTTAATGAAAGAAGGAATGACTGCTGAGCAATGATGATCCTAGTGAACACCTGCACATATCATGTGCTATGGGTATGCTCAGCTCTGCAGTTAGCTGAAGAATGACTTTTAAATCAGAAAACTGCAGAAATTCAGACCCATTCACGGATATCCTGCAAACAAAAAAGGGAACTGTAATCGCTGAAAGTATTATGTTGTAAGTAGTTCTGTATGCAGGTCCATTAGCAACAAACATGTTGAAGGAAGTAATTATTGTGGTAAATTTATTGACAGAGTTGGAAAATCCCTTTGTATTACTTCTCTCATTATCTTCACTTTTTGCTTTGTTCTGCATACATTCAACAACACTTTGCTTTGTTCTGCATACACTCAACTCTGCTAACTTGGTCTCTCCAGCCTCAGACTAGAATTGCAATGAGACTTCAAAATGAGGCAGAAGAGCTGGGTATAAACAACATAAATAAGACAGAAGAGGCAAAACATCTTCAGAGCAGCTGCTTTAATACCTTTACTAAAATAAAATAAAATAAAATAAAATAAAATAAAATAAAATAAAATAAAATAAAATAAAATAAAATAAAATAAAATAAAATAAAATAAAATAAAATAAAATAAGGAAAGGTGTGCGAATAGTTAAAGGTGACTGGAAGGCTTCAGGTGTGAGAGATGTCCAAAGAAGGGCGACGAGTGGTCGGGTGCTTGAGCGGGTCCAAAGAAGGGCGACGAAGCTGGTGAGGGGCCTGGAGAGCAAGTCCTATGAGGAGCGGCTGAAGGAGCTGGGCTTGTTCAGCCTAGAGAAGAGGAGGCTCAGGGGTGACCTTATTGCTCTGTATAAGTACATTAAAGGAGGCTGTAGAGAGGTGGGGGTTGGCCTGTTCTCCCATGTGCCTGGTGACAGGACGAGGGGGAATGGGCTAAAGTTACGCCAGGGGAGTTTTAGGTTAGATGTTAGGAAGAATTTCTTTACTGAAAGGGTTGTGAGGCACTGGAACGGGCTGCCCAGGGAGGTGGTGGAGTCACCATCCCTGGAAGTCTTCAAAAGACGTTTAGATGTAGAGCTTAGGGATATGGTTTAGTGGGGACTGTTAGTGTTAGGTTAGAGGTTGGACTCGATGATCTTGAGGTCTCTTCCAACCTAGAAATTCTGTGATTCTGTGATTCTGTGATCAAGAGTTTATCTCAGATGAGTTCCACACTCGTTGATATCTTAAAGTAGATTATTGTATGAGAAAGAAAGAGTAGAAATTCAGCTTAGCCAGTTTGGAAAAACACAGTTAGAACGCTGATTTTGTTTATGTTCATTTCTGACCACATTAGCAAGAAAGCTACACCTACTAAGATGTAGGTTGATTCCCTTTGAGCCATTTGCAGTAAATATGAGTTTAAACAAATATAAGTGGTTCAGATATTCTGTAACTTAAGCACCCTGGAGGATAGCTGGGAGTGTGTGTTGCGGGGGGGGGGGGGGTTGGCCACACAGAAAACCTGACAAAATGCTACACAAGAGAGTTATGGCTAAAGGGGAGAGTTATGGAGAATTAACAGTACAGGAATATTGATGGATAGAAAGCTTCTTCACAAAATCAAAGAGATTAATTTGGCACAGGAGCATTTCATTCCAAATATGCCAGAGCCTCTGGTAAACAGCCTGAAACTGGATGGCTGAAACAGGACTGATGCGCTGGTGGATAAAGTTGGTGGCAATGAGTTTTGTAACAGGATTCAGAGCAATTTGGACTTTTGAGCACTTTGAGATCCAATGAAAAGCAGGAGATAGGAGCCAAGCGTGTAATGATTATTATTGTTATAAGCGATATTACTGCACCAATATGGTTGTGAGTGAATCAGCAGATGGCAAATGCCTTTCAGTGAAGGCAGAGGCAAAATAGTATGCCTGGTAGCAAGGAGTGAAGCTAATGATGATGTGCAAAATGAAACAACCATTCAGCATGCTGATCAGGAAAAAACATTTGGGAGTCATTGTGGAAAAAAACATGGAAACCATTAGTCCAGTTCAGAGTAGAAGCAAAACTAAAAGCAAAAGAAGTAACGTTGTTCCTGTACAATGTTTTTGGTGGATCCCTTATTTCTGAGTTCTTCCTGTTGTTTTTATTGTGCCCACCAGGAGCCACACAGACCTGCTTCACTTGATGGGGATGCTTTGTTTTTGAGCCAGGCCTGTCCAGAGGGGTGGATGAAGCTCTCTCCATGCAAACATCCTCATGGGGGAGTAGGACATGGGGCTGAGGCCAGAAGGCAAAGAGGTAAGTGCAAGGAAATCCAAAAGTTCATTTTAACTGTGTGATGGGGATTAATTACACAGCATGCAAAGGGCACACAGCAAGGTCTCATTCATTATAGTGCAACCGCTCTATCCCTAGCTGGCCACAGCATCCCCCATCTTCAGCAGCATTTTCCAATAAGCCTTTCTGGCTGGCCAGGCTAGACCCAAACCATTAGTGCATAGGCGGTTGGCTTTTGTTTGCTTTTCTCCTGATCCCCTTTTTTTTTCAAGTAGGCTCTGTTGCTAAAGTGTAAGAGTGCTTCACTCCTTTTAAAACAGAAAGGTCTGAGCCCAGTCATCTTCTAGTGACTCCCTTGCAGCCAGTTAGCCCACAAAAATAAGCAAACTGAAGAAAGGAGTCAGAGCCTAAGCCCTTTATGTGAGATTGATTGTAAAGTTGGTGGCAACATGACAGGCTGATTTGTGGTGGCTCCTCATAGCTTGTTTGAACTGTAAACCTCGGCCCCATTTATTTATTGTATCAACGCAGCTTTGTCACAACCAGCCTGAGCGCAAAGGCTTGTGTCTTGTGCCCTGCCCGAGGAGTTCTCAGCCCTGTGCAGATATTCATTTGCGTGGGGACATCCGTGTGTGCTCCCCCTGGCCCCGGGCTCCTTCACAGGGAGCTGGACCCCTCCATGAGGCTTAATTCCCTCTGCTGTCATCTTTTCCACTGATAGCTGGAGCAGCTGTTTCTTCTTCCTCGGTAGCATGTGGATTGCCAGAAAGCCGGAGGGGCCCACCAGCTCATTTCCATACTTGGATCTGGGTCTGTATCTGCATCATATTTTCTTGAAACAGTAGTCGCATAGCGGGTCCCTCTACCTTCTACACAAACGTGATTTAATGTCTTCCTCGGGAGCAGTGAGCTCATCTGCTCTAACATGAAATTGTAAGAAGGATTGTCTCTTCGCTTATTAATGTAATCACTTTAGACTACTTGATATGTCCTGTATACAGCTTACAGGGTAGAGTTTTATAGCATATTACTGCACCTCCATATAAGTCTAAACTGGTCATAAAACATAATCACTTACTGAAAAAAAATATTAACACTGCTGAAACTAGGACACAAAAGTGATTTTCATAGCAACGGATAAATAAAGGCATTGGCAAAAGTCCTATTCTTTCGCACAGAAAAATACAGATAAAATGGAAAACCTAATACCTTTCCTCCATCTCTTTGTCACCTTTTACCCTTCCCTTCACCTTCAAAGCACCTCACCAGCTTCAAGCAGAACCACAGTACTGATGGCACCAAAAGGACTGCAAACTCCTGACTTGGTCCAGCAACATGTGTAGTTAACAGAGGCCTACAAAGATGTTTTCATCAGGCAGTTCCAATGGCAGTCTTGGAAATGCTTTTGCCATTTGTCTTATAAACATCAGTCTTTGAAGAAAAAGAACAACACTGGGAAGCAAGACCATGTCGGACCTACCAAAACCGTGTTCTCTCTGAGTACCAGTAAGCAGCCTCGATGCAGACTCTGATGCTGAGTAAAGCTTGTCTAGACACAAAATTAGATCAGGTCAAAAAGACTACTGTATTTCTGCTCTCTTCTGTTTATATGGCTCATATCAACACAGTATTTTAGTATGTGATAGCTATTTATGTATTTAACAGTTGTTAAACAGCTGTGCAAAGCACTGTCTGGATATTTTTATTTTAGTTTAAAACTGAGTCAAAATACAGTTATATGTATAGTATGATTTAAGAGCAACCTAAATGGACCAAATTTAAACTGAAGTAAGTACACATCCAAGCTTTTTGGTAAGGTTTAGTTTTATTAGTTTAAAATCACACCTTAATTTAAACCATACCCGCATCCTGAGTCCAGTCTTCACCGGTATTTAAATAGCCTTTTTTTCCCACCGCACCTAATAGTAGGAAACTGAGGTTTGGAGCTGCAGGGCAGGTTGGCTGTGGTAGAAGAAGGCGTTAACACAGGATCTCTCTCAAATCTCAACCCTTGCACCAGCCCTCTTGAAGGGGAAAGAGTGGCCATGAACCCATCACCCCATAGCTAAAGGTAACCCCGAGGTTTTTGAAGGGACTTTCTCGGCTCCCAGTGAGGGAATTAAAAATGTCATTACCTACCTAATGAAAATGACCTTGTTGTCAAACACTCATACATGCACAGATATAATAAAACATGATATTCAGGGAAGGAAAGAGTATTCCTCCTCCTCCTCCTTCTGTTGGTTTCCACATCTGTTTTTGTTTGAAGTTTCATCTGGTTATCTGGATTGCTGGTCTTTTTTAGACTGAAGGGGTCTAAGTAAAAAAGCCACCCTTATTTTCAGTGGCCATTTTTAATAGAAAGTTCCATGTGACAAAGATAATCAAAGAGCAGGGGTAGCAAGACAGCTCTGGGTGAGGGATGTAGGAGGGGAATTACAACCTGATAACACTGCAGTAAATTGTTTCTTAATATTTATTGCACTGTGTTGCTCAAGGGCCTGGATGGCTTTCAGAGAGAGAGCACATCAGCAACAGCAGTGGGGTTTTGTGGCTGGTGGGCAGTGAGGAGGACAGTTATTTCATATTTTAGTGACTAACCAAATGTCAATCAGACCCAGCACTGGTGAAAATGTTTCCAAGGAACAAATGAGCATCTTTGGGCCTCTAGCAGTTTGTTTACATACCAATAAATAAGCACTTGCTCCTAGCCAGAGAGATCTGAAGGGTTTTCAAATGCAGAAGGCAGAAGCCTAGGACTTCTAATGCAAGTACACATTGCTGATAGCCTTGAGGTGAGCTATCTTGCTGGTCTGCACTCAGCTTCAAGGTTCCCCTGGGATCCTATATGTCTATATGGGACATTTCACAGCAAGGCACACACTTCCCCTCTTGTCCTCTGTGCACCATCCCTCCTAAGGCTCTGTTTCTGCTTGTCTACACCTTCAGAAAAAAAAAAAAATAATAAAAAAAAAAAAACAGAGTTGTGGTTTTCTTCCACCTGTAGTTGCCCTACAACTTAAGGCAGTAACCACTCCTCACCGTCACATCCTCTTGGCCTATGAAGATGTTCCATGCCTGCAAGCTTCTCCTCACCAGTCAGACAGCTAAAGACCTTCCTCCAAACATGGGACACAAAATAGCTTTCTGGACGATCCACCCCCACACCTGTCACAGTCAGTGAGACCAGCATCTGAACAGGTCAGCCCCTGTTTGGAGCAGAAAGTAGGTTACCAGAGGGAAACGCTGCATATGGACTGAACAGGCAAGGAGGGAAAAATACAAAAGGGTACATCTGCTGGTCTGTAGGAAACTCAGACTGGCAGGGCTTCTCTTGACTTCTGTCCCTGCTAACAGCCCTTGATGTTCCTTGCTCAGCCTTTCTGCAGACATCCGTTGTGTACTATCAGCGCACTGCTACAGCAGGAAGTGCAACAACTACCAGTGAGGCACCCTGCAGGAGGCAATGTCCCCTGTGGTTCACACCTCACACCTATCTAGTCCAGCAAGAGCAGCCTGCAGGAAGGCTGCAGCCACACATTGACCAGATGGGTAGGCTGAGACATGCCATGACTTACTAAAGCCTTGACCAGCCAATAGAGTATCCAAGGTTGTGACCTCTGTCCCCAGCTTCCACCCTATCTCCTAACCTCGGACCCCTAGCAGCTGATGGCTAGTGTAAAAATAAAGAGTCACAGGCACCTAGCAAAGAGATCTGCAGGGTTTTCAATAGCAAAAGGCAAACATCAAAACTATTTACATAAATCCACCTTGCCAACAGCCATGAGATCTTCCCTTCATCTGAATAATGTGTCCTACATGGAGTCCTTCAATGGTAGGACAAGTTTATAAACACTCGCAGGATAATTTCCAGCAGGGTAGAAACAAATTTGCCAGAGCTGGAAAAATGAATCTGTCATCACAAGATCAGTATTTGGAAGTAAAAGTGTTCAAGTTTAGCTTATAATATTGTTTGCCTTGGCTTCAAGTCTATCACTTTTAACGGATGCTTTGTATTTCAGAGGCATAGAAGTGAAGGAGTATGTTCTTCCAGTGAGGTTTCAACAACCTTTGGGTTTGGAAACTTCTCACGCAGCTGATCTTTCCATTTTTTACTATGCACGTGTAAAAAATGGCACGATCTCTGTTATTTCAACAGGTGGCTTTTCACTGTAATGTGCTCTGTATGCTGAGCAAGGCTTCATTGCAGTCTTGGAGCAAGGCGTCTCTGTGAGCAGAGTAAGCTCAGCCCTCATATATTAATGTTGACAGTGCAATCCTGAAATCAAAGTTTTGGTAAAATGATACCAAGCAAATGGATTGACACAGGAAACAAACAAACAAATGTAGTGGCTGAAAGCTAGGGAGATTTGTTTCACATGCTGAAGTGAAAACAAACTGAATCTGTCCATCAGCAGATGGGAACTAGGAACAATTGTCTCTCAAGAATGCTGAGCTCTGCTGCAGACAGGTTTCATCTCAGTCAAGCACAGGATACCTATCCATATTTCATGTTCCCATGTGGCAAGAGAAAATCAAATCAATCCTAAAATGTGCAACAGAATGTATTGTCATTTCATCATCCTGACCTTACTCAGCCAACACCATCTCACCAAGGAACACAAGGACGACCTCATTACCTCACATAAACTTTCTACAGCATCTTTGTAGGTGTTTCAGATCAATCTCACATCTCAAGGGACAAAATAGATCTGAAAAAGTAATATATTATACATATTATATTAAACATATATATATACACATATATGTGCATACATATATATATATCTCTGTTCCCAGAAATACTTGTTTAACAAAGATGCCTCCTGCCCTTTAGCAAAGCCATTTGAAAGGGAGCATGTCACCCATCAGCCAGAAGAGACAGACATAAGAGAGACGAAGATTAAAGAATTGCTCCAGAATATGCATAAAAAGAGGCATGATTGATATCGCAAGGAATATTTTGGGAAGATGCTTAAAAAAAAAAAAAAAAAGACACCTATGGACGAAAAATACCCACTTAGCCTTTCTTTCCTACAGGGAGGAACCTAGGCTCTGACTCATTTTTCTGATTACTATTCCACATTAGCCTTTTTAAACAATGTCATTCAAGGAATCTCACCTGCTGTGCCTTGTGTAAATTGCCCTTAAAATAATCTATCATGCCAAAATGATGAAAAAAAAAAAAAAAAAGTTAAAAATCGATTCAGCAAATACAATGTTTCCCCCCAGCAGGCTTATTGCTATTGCTTTTCATTTTTTTTGCTCAGTTTCCTATTCTGCCTCATTCTTTGCAATACAAATAGCAAAACTGGCAAATAATTTGGGAGAGACTTAGGCCTCAGTAAGTCTTGCCCATGGTGCATTAGTGCAGTAAAACTCGTCCAGTGTTGAAAGTTCCCTAGTAGAAACCCCCAGACTTCAGTTACCACCCTTGGCAAGGCAGTTGGCAGGGCTGGTCCTGACAGTTCTCATCGCTGCAGATTCCTGGGCTGTTGGCTTTAGTAAGTCTCATCACAAGGGCAGGGGTCTACACAAAAGCACAAATCCCATCTGGTGGACTTGCCTCAACCTTTACAAAAAGCAAAAGACAGAAAGAAAGAGTGCTCTGTATCTCTCAGGACAGTGCCTGGTTTTATCAGTGGGAACTTTGTGAGCTTGCGCTTGACCACATTGTACTGTAACCCATCCCCAGTCCTAAACTAACAAGACTGACTGGAGTTTGGGGTTCCTATAGGAATTCAGTCAGTGAGTTTGGAGCAGTCCATGGGGTACTTACTGAACAAGAGCCTGGCAGGGCTCAAGGTTGCAGCAGCACATCTGCTCCTGGCATCATCCAGCTCACCCTCCCCCCAGCCTCATGGGGATCAACATCCACCAGTATGGGTCCCCGTCTGTGCACTGCCAGTTCCTGTACAGCAGAGGGTCCTCCGACCTGTGTCTGTGTCAAATGAAGCATGGGAAAACAGCTCCCTGTAAATTTGAATGGGGCGAGGGAAGGAGAAAACCTGATTACGTCAAGGCAAATGGCCATGAGATTTCCAACTCCCAACCTTGCAATGGCAGCCTGACAGTCTCTGGGTTCAGTGTGACACCAGACAGGGGGGCAGCAAGTCACTAAGTCGTGCACAGCAACCTGGCATCACTGCCATGGGGAGGACAAACTGGAGAGGTTCCTTTTTGTTGTGCCAAGGTGGTGGGCTAGGTCTGGGGATGGGCCATGGAAACGTGGAGTGCTGCTGCAGTGACACGGGCTGGCTGAGGAGCTCCAGCACTTCAGAAACACACTAAATAAACAAGCAGACGAGGGACTGGTAACCACCACTCCAGTAGGAAATCTATGCAATGAAAAAGTCATCAGCCTTGCTTTTTTTTATCCATTCCTCTCATTCCTTAGATTGAATTTCTTTCCATGCCATGCTTTCCCACTGCTCAGCACCCCCCCCCTCCCCCTTGCCTTCCCCCCTCATCCGTTTCCTTCAGAGCTGCAATATTGGCCACCAGCAAGGCAGAAAAAGCTGATAAAAGATGATGCACCGCTCTCGTTATTCCATAGTTTTCTCTCGATGGATTTAGAAAGGTCCCGAATGCAAAGAAAAATTAAATCAGCAGGTAGGAAGAAAGATGCAAAGTGAAATTCAAGATGCTGGAAAGCTGCATTTCTCCGGAGGTCCTACTCTTCCCTCCATCCGGAAGACAGGAAAGAGCAGACTGTTCATGACAGAGGAGAGAAAACTTCTGGGGGTCTTTAGGGGGAACTCAATCAAAGAAATTATTTTCCCACAGACCAGGGCTGAGAAAACCTTAATGGCTTTTTCCTGATTGAAGAATAAATCAACTATTAATTTATGACCTGAAGTGTATATAACAACTCTCCAAATGCTTTCCAGTTCCGCGAGCAGCAGTGCTCGTATCCTTTCTGTTCGACTTTGCTTCTCACCAGCTAGTTCAGCTAACGGGCTAAATATTCCTCACAACGCTTCACCGGCTGTGGGCTTGGAAAAAAAAAAAAAAAAAATCTTAATTAAAAAAAAGGCCGGCCATGTGTTTCCAGCATATATGTGTGCATAGAGATCCACATGTATTAGAGATAAAGCTAAGTGCAAGCACATGGCGTTTGCGTGGAGAAGCCAAGGGACCATGTGCAGGTTATTAGCGAGGGGGGATCCTGCCTGCCGAGGGGCTCAGCACACCCCACCGGGGCACGCCGCTGGCTGCACCTCTGCCCAGCTGATGGATGGCTCCGGGTCGCTTTGTTTGTTTAAATGGGAGCCAACATGTTAACAGCATTAAGGAGGCAGGCTAAATAATTTGCCGGTCCGGCTATCAAGGCAAGTACGGTCTCGGAAATATATGGGCTGTATTTAAGAAACTGAACCCCGCTGAGCCTTCGTTTGTATATACATAGCGTTTGGGCAGACGGCATAAATTGTAAAATAAGATGACAATATTAGCATCTTCCCTTGGCTTCCCCTTGCCGAAAGAAAACCACAGAGGGAACACCATTCAAGCATTTCCTTTATGCTCATAAGTTAATCAAGGAGCATCAGGGAATAAGACAGTTTTATAGCTTTCCAGTAAAATGCGATACAACTCGCAGGCACTGAGTGATTTTACAGTTACCTTTCCAAAGCGTGGCAAACAGAACAACAACAAGAAGCAACTAAAAAACGCTTGCGCCTCGCTCCCGAAAGTTGCCCAGAAGGTTGCAGGAGAAAATAACGTGGCTGAGATTCCCGAGCCGGCCGCCTGCAGCCAGCAACAACCATCATGAAACCACGGAGCATCTTGAGCAATTTACGAGAGGATCGTGCTCGAAATATTAAGGCGCCGCCACACAAACACACACACCGAAAAAAAAAAAAAAAAGAAAGAAGAAAAAAAAAAAAAGTGATCTCTCTGCTGTTTCAAATTCCGGCTCGATCCTGGAAGGGGTTATTTTTCGTGGTGCTTTTGGCAAAGCTCTGCCGAGCGCCGCTCCGTGCTACGGCCGCAGCAGAAGGGTCCCCCCGAGGGCTCCCTGTCCCGGGAGGGGATCGGGTTGCGGCGCAGCCCCCCCGGCCTGGACCCCCCGACATCGTCCCTTTTCCAGCTCCCTTCCGTCCCTTCCCCAGCCATCCCGGGGGCAGTCCCCAGGTCCTTC